TTTGATAGCTCATGAGAGTTTTATGCAATTCGTATCCATCAAAACCAACCACAAATTTCTCCGACTTTTGGTTAAGTTGTATTTTTCTCATTTTCTCATTTTCCTAAATCATATGTAATATGACTAGTATTTAAACAAAATTATATTACAATTGAATTATAAAATATTCAAACTTTAGTTACATAGTACAAATGCAACCCCCTCAAACTAAATTTTTTGGCTCCACCCGTGCTCTGTCGCATGTAATTTCGTAGTGAAATACGATTTCAGTATTCGAGTACCGATAACATTTCCTGTATAACTCTAATACTGTTTGTGAGAAAGGAATTTTCTGTGATGGAGTTCAAGCAGCAAGTCATTTTTTTTTTTTCTCAAAATGAATATCAAAATGACGATCAAGCAGAAGGAGAAGGGGCAGAATCGTCCATACGATAAATATACCAAAAATTGTTTCAATTTAAATAAAAATTGTTTTGAGTACTAAAAAACATATATCATTATTATCTTGATGAAAGATGAAACAAAATAATTTTAACTAAAACAACATATATATATTAGTGTTATGAAAATAAAATTATTATAGTAGTAACTTATACAAGATGTGTCATTAGCAAGTGACAATTAAAACCAAGCGGTACCACATTTTGAATTGGTGACGAGGGAAACCTTGGTAGAGGTGGAGATGCTCATTTATCCATTCATTTTCTCTAAACGCGCATGCAGGGTTGAGACCAATTCTAAATAGTATGCAATTTTCTTTTATCTTATTATTTCTCTTTTTCTTATTTAATTTAGGGTTAAGTGAAAAAAATCCCCCTCTACTATCGATATAGTGCATATCAGTCCCTGTGTGGTAAAAAAAAAAAAAAAAACCCTATACCATCAATTTGGTGCGATTGGGTCCCTGGTGGTGTAAAATGATGATAATACCTTCACTTCAGTTGAATAAATTAATGATTATAATATAGGCCATGTAAAATAACCATTTTGTCCAAATTTGTATAAAATGGGATTTGTTTGGCAGAAGGATAATATAAACCTCAAATCGTATAAAATTGGGATAACCTAAACCTGAATATAATTAAATCTAAAACCAAACATGCCTCAACTATATAAAACACACTTAACCATTTTAAACCCTAAGTCTGCATTGTATACGAGAGAGGCTAACTCTAAGTTCCTTAGTGTTCTGAAACCCTAACCCGTTTTCATGTGTATTTGTTCTCTAAATCGATTGAATCTCTGTATTTGTTTGTTGATCGGTTGAAAATAACTTGCAAGAGTTGTAAAGTCGGTGAAAGATCGATTGTGTTATTGTGCTATGGCGCTGTGAAGACTCCTTCGTGTCGTAAGTGTTCTTAAATCAAAATTTTGTTCTTAAATCGTGTTATTTGTGTTAGATTTGTGTAAAATTTTGCGTTGTGAAGAGTTGTAAACTCACTGAATGTTTTGTATGATTATGTGGTTCGATTTTGTTTCAACATTTGTTAGGGTTTTCTGATTCGTCTCGTAAATTGTTAAATGGTTTCTGATTTTGTTCTTAAATCATGTATGCATGCATGGTCGATTTTGTTTCAACATTTGTTAGGGTTTTTTGATTTCTTTCATATTTATTTCCTAACAGTTAGGGTTTTTGTAAACAATAGTGGGTTTATCATTTTTTTCTTATATTCTCTTGCAATTTTGGCCTTTATATATGTTTATGTCATGTATGTACGATTCAGTGGTGTTAGGGGTTTGTCAATAGGTTGGTCCATTTGTGTTTTTTGCCTGTAGATTCAGTATATATATGTTTGTGTGACCCAATGCATGATTGTGACCCATATATGCCAAATATGATGATCTGGTCTCCATTTAAATTGGGATTTTATACTATAAAGTTTGGATTTTTATATGCACACATGTTTTGTTCAATGCAATATTATGGGTTGATTGACTTTATAAATTTATTGTTAGGGTTCTGTAAACAATAATGGTCCCTTGTCTTTATGCTTTGTCAAATGCATTATTGTGGGTTGATTAACCTTATTTATTGTAAGGGTTTTGTAAACTACAGTGGTCCCATGTGTATAGCAAATGCTAAACTTTATGTTGGGTCTAAGTGTGGCGTGTCGCCGCACCAACATCTAAATTTGTGCAAAATAGTGTGGCCAAGTTTTAAATTTATAAATGTCACTACTACCTCTAACTAAAAATAATATAGTTAGGGTGAGTAGGGATCGTCCCAAGAGATTGTGGGCATGTTTGGAATGGAAATCATATATAGGGTTAGTAAGTCGAATGATCAAAATGAGGTTTGTTTGGTTGATTAAACTACAATGCAATTGAAATTAAAGCAAGCAAAATACAATTATTTATAAGATAGGGAAAAAGATATAGAGGAGAGGACTTGGGGTACTAGAGCTCACCATTAAGCTTGACTTCACTAGATACTAGCAATTGTATATCAATAGGGAAATTAAACTGTAACGTGTGTGTGTGTGTGTGTGTGTGTGTGTGACATTAATTGAAATTAGGTATGGATGGCAAATAAGTATAGATTGTCTAGCCAATTCAAATGGAAAGCACAACCTATCAAATGAGACCAAAATCCATTCAATGAAACCACTATTAATGCACACACAACTATCTAGAGGCATACACCCTTTGCATTCATAAGTATGAAACACCAAAGAACAAGAATAGATTGTCCACCTATCTATGAACCTAAAACAACTACACTACATCTACACTAAAGACATGAAAATTAAACTAAGCAAGCTAAAGGTGTGGCACAATCCATCAAGAAACAAGTATGAACCATCAAATAAATTACAAGAGTGTTCAATTAAGCACTATGTTTTGATCATCACTAGATTAACTTTATCCATACACATAGACATGCATAAATTTCATTAAATCTAGAGAAAAGCACATGAATCATCCATTCTAGCATACATAGACATATGATTAGAAATAGATAATCAATTGGAAGCATTAATCTATACATATCAAGTAGAAACCACAAGATATATATATAAATCCAAGATCAAAACATTTGTTACAAGAAAATCCCCAAAAATATACAAAGCACTAAGTCTAGGAAGCAAACTTAGGTGCTACTCTAGCCCCAAGTAGATGTCTAGCCACTCATTGAAGTAGTCATCCAACCCTCAAGGGCTATCTCCATGATAGGAATGACCTCCTTCTTGATGGAAACCCTAGAAGAATGGAAGAACTCCTAAAATGTGTAAAGCTCTCTCTCTCTCTAAGATAAATGATATGAGATGTGTAAGTATGATAAAGATATGCTCTTAAAATGGCTCCAAATCCTTATATAAGAGGCTCAAGTGTCACACCCAATGGTCTGGACTCGTGCACTAGGGGCATTGCAATGATTGCACCACGAGCCATCTTTTAATGAGTTGGACTTTGTTTTAATTCGGACTTGAGGAGGTTCGATCGATCTAACTTTGATGAGATCAATCGAACTAAGGTGAGATCCATCGAATGCTGCAGAAATCGATCATCCTTGCAGGAACCTTTTTGAATAAAGACAAATCTTTGAGATATTTTGGAAAAGAGACAAAAGTGGTAGGTGGGGTGGTAGGTAGGGTGGTAGGTGTGGATAAGATTGAATAATTTCGATCGATCGAAGAAAAGTTGGATCGATCGAATAAGGTGGAATCTTTTGGATAAGGACATAGGCTTGGATCCATCTTGAAGTGTCCAGATCGATCACCTCTAAATCGATCGAAGAATTGTTGAGATCAATCGACCATGCTGACTTTCCACACTTTGCTTCATTTTGCTTCTACTTTGCTCATTTCTTCCATTCAACTTGAGATAACTTCTTTAATGCTCGTATTTGGCTGAATTAACTTTTTTTTGGGATAAGCACCTAAAAAGGGCAATAACATGAAATTAGTCTAAAACAGGAAAGTAAGATAGATAAAGGTCCTAGAATACTCGAGCTTAAGGGATTTAAATGCGCACTTTTCAGCGCTCATTAAAGTGCTACAAACAGTACCTCAGAATAATTATGTTTTGTTTGTTTATACTTTTGATGGAATGTTTCTATATGTGATGTTAGGTCCATGTCTTTATTATTTATATTATTTATACACTAACATTGTTTTTTAGTGTATGACATGCATATTGCATGACGGATCCATAGATCCCGCTCTGATATGCATGCATGCTTGTGACAAAAGCTTATATAGTTGTGGCTTGTGACAGCTTATATTTTATTATTTATACACTAACATTGTTTTTTAGTGCATGACATGCATATTGCATGACGGATCCATAGATCCCGCTCTGATATGCATGCATACTTGTGACAAAAGCTTATATAGTTGTGGCTTGTGACGGCTTATATTTTATTATTTATACACTAACATTATTTTTTAGTGCATGACATGCATATTGCATGACGGATCCATAGATCCCGCTCTGATATGCATGCATGCTTGTGACAAAAGCTTATATAGTTGTGGTTTGTGACGGCTTATATTTTATTTTTTATACACTAACATTGTTTTTTAGTGCATGACATGCATATTTCATGACGGATCCATAGATCCCACTCTGATATGCATGCATGCTTGTGACAGAAGCTTATATAGTTGTGGTTTGTGACAGCTTATATTTGTATGGTTGTTTAGTAAATGGGGAAGACATACATACTTCAGTTGCATCATTAGGGAAAGTTGAATCAACGCAACAACTATGTTGGTGGTAGCATAGAGCTAGTTGACAATGTGGACCCTGACATGATGTCTTACTTTGAATTGGAAGACATAGTGGATATGCTGCAGTTGGGTGAGAGTAAAATGTTCTACATAGATCCCATTGGTGGGCACTTGATGCAGATAATTAAGGATGGGAGTGTTATACAGAAGTTTATGGCCTACAACAGCTCATCTTTGATTAAGATTTATGTCACTAATACTGAGAATAAGGATTCTAGGTTTAGTGCACAAGTTCAGCATCGGTGGATAGAATATTTAACCTAATCAATGGATGACAGTGACCATGTGCAGCCTAACAGTTACCATGTGCAGGCTGCAAGTGTTGAAGAGAATGTGTACAATGATGTCTCAGTTGATGAAGAGGATGAAATATATGATGGGAAAAATAGTGAAGAGTTAGATGATGTTTCAGTTTATGCACCAAGTGATGAGCTATGGAGTATCCATAGTGACTTAGATGATAAGATACATATTCCTTGCAAAAAATCAGAATTCATTGCTAGGAGTGAAATGGGAGAGAAAGAAAAAATATTAATGGTGGGAATAGAGTTTGCTACATTTGCAGAATTCAAAGATGTGTTGAGAGAGCATGCTATCAAGAACAAATATGACATCAAGTTTGTTAAAAATGATGGAAAAAGGGTCACATGTATATGTAGAAATGAGTGTGGGCGAAGGATACATGCTTCAAAGAGAAAATTAAATGGTGCCATTGTGATTAGTACATTCAATGATGAACATACTTGCTCTGAAGTTCAAACAAGCAGACTAGCAACATCTTCTCATCTTGCAAAGAAGTATGTGCACAAGTTTAGGAGAGACCCTGAGTGGAAAAATTCTGATCTTATAGATCAGATTACTGATGATTTGAACCTGGTAGTTAATAGGTTCAAAATTTATGGGGCAAAGAGGAAATGTCAGCTGATGATTGATGGCCCACATGAAGATCAATTCTAAAAAATCAGAGAGTATTGTCAGTTGGTATTGGAGACAAATCCTGGAAGTTTTACTAAGGTTGATGCATTTTCGAAGCCAGATGGGAAGTCTACAAGGTTTGAGAGACTGTTTTTCTCATTGAATACCATGTGGAGAGGCTTTAAAGAGGGTTGTAGGCCATTTATTGGCTTAGATGGTTGCTTTCTAAAAACTCATTACAATCAACATTTACTAAGTGCTATTGGTAGAGATGGGGACAATAGCTTCTATCCCATTGCAATTGGTATTGTGGAAGCAGAGACAAAGGAGACTTGGGATTGGTTTCTGGATAACCTCATGGATTTGTTTTGCGCCAACAAAGAAATAACATTCATTTTAGATAGATAAAAGGTATGTTAGAAAAGTATTTTAGTTTTTAGATAGTTTAAAATTCTTTTACAGACTTTCAGTTTAAAACTGCATTTACTGATAGTATAAATGCATTTATTGATACTTTAAAATACATTTTCAGATAGTTTAAAATTTCATTTACTGATATTATGATTTTATTATAGGGTTTGGTTGACACACTTTAGAAGCTTGGGTTAGATCACAGATTCTATGTAAGGCACATGTATGACAACTTCAAAAATAAGTTCCCAGGCTTGGAGTTGAAGCAAGAGTTTTGGGATGCAACAAATTCTTTCACAATGGAAGACTTTCAGGGACACATGCAGAGAATCAGGGAAATTAACATAGATGCATATGATTGGTTGGCCAAGATACCCCCTCACCTGTGGGCTAAGTGTAAGTACTCAAAATGGTCAAAGTGTAACCTTAACAATAATAAAATGTGTGAATCACCATGCTTGAAATGATCAGAAAGTCTTTGTTGAGGAGGTATCAAGAGAAAAAAAAAGAGTACATGGAGAGGAAAATGGGGTTGTTGTGTCCAGCTCCAGCTGCTCAGCTAAAATTGAACAAGAGGAACTCAATGAGTTGTCTTGCTCACCTCTCTGGAAAAGCCATTTATGAGGTTGAAGATGGAGGAGTGAATGAGACTGTTGACTTACTTGTAGGGCATGCGATGTCACAAGTATCCCATGCAAGCATGCATGTGCAGCTATACAAAAGAGAAAAGGGGCAGTTCTTGAAGACTTTGTTGACCCATACTTTTATAAAGAAACATTCTTGAAGTCATATGTAGGGATGGTATATCCAATGACATTGAGAAATATGAGAGAAGTAACTGGGGTGGTTCCAATTATTCCTCTTATAGCTAGGAAACCCCCAGGCAGACCAAAGAATTTGAGGAAGAAAGCTTGTGATGAAGGTACATCAAGTGGAAAACGTGTGTACAAACAAAGGGCTCACCTTATTTGTGGAAAATGTCAATTAACTGGTCACAACTCAAGGACTTGCAAAAATGAACAAGTGCAGAGAGGACCTCCTAAAAGCAAATGAGGTAGACCCAAAAACCCTCAACTTGGAGTATTGCATGTTCAAAAGGCTACTGAAACTGTTCTTAATGGTAGTGGTGGTGTTGGGAGTAACAATGCTATGGGTAGTACTTCAGTGAGAGTGAGAGACAGTAGTGTTGGGAGTAGGAATGGAATTGGTAGAAGTCTTGGGAGTAACAATGTGTTGGGAAGTACTTCATTGAGAGGTGTTGTAATACCCCTAATTTAAAAAAGGATAGTCCTAGTATTTATTTTATTATTTAAATTGCATTTTTTATTGTTGACGTGCATATGTGTTAATTGAATTGATTTAATTGCATTTGATAGTTTAATTGTTTTAATTTAATTGAGTTAATTGCTTTAATTGTTTTACTCTAGTTATTTTAATTGAATTAATTTACTTAAATTTAATGGTTTAATTATTTTAATTTAATTGTTTACATTGAATTGATTTTTTTTTCATTTAATTATGTTTTCAACGTGACTGTATGGAAGATGGCACTCATATAGTTATATTAGGTTTTCAGTTCAGCCGAAGTTGGAATAAAACCTAGGTTGTTCTATGGGCCGAGTTTCAGTTTAGGGTTTAGTTGGACTTAGGTTTAAGGGTGGCCTATAAATACATGTATTACATTCTGTTTAGGGTTTTAGAACCCTATTCACGGCATATAGAGAACAGAGAGACGTGTAGAGGAATCTGGGAGAGAACAAAGAGGAAAAAATCAAAGGATCGCCGGAAAAGCTTAGAAGAAAGACGTTGAGATTTCAGAACCAAATCTCACAGGCAAGTTTTATAACTAAATCTATCTCTTTGGCCTATGTTCTTTGCATCCATAATTCAGTTCCAGGATGAAATAAAGTTAAATTAATTTGGTTGCATGATTATTTGTTTCAAAACAGTATAGGTTCTTGTATGTGTTTTCTAATTGCTTTGAAACTGTTTCTGCTTGATTCTCATTCTAATTGAATTTAATTAATAAGTAATGAATTTAATTAACTCTGGATCATACTAGGGTTTAGTTTTAATCAGTAAGAAACTTGGTTTGGAGGAACAACGTAGCCGGACACCACCGGAGTTAAAGAAGACGAGGGAACAGGGGAAGATTCTGCTCTATTCTGAAAAGAGCAGGCTCACCAAAGTGCAGAGCAGGCTCCACCATGGGTGGAGCCGGCTCTTAAGGCCTTGGAGCTAGCTCCACCATGTGTGGAGCCGGCTCTACCATTATTAGAGGCGGCTCCCTCTTTGAGGGAGCCAGCTCCTTCGAAAAGTTTTGCAGTTTTTGATTTTTCTGCGAGACTTGGGCTACTGGGATTAAATTTTTAAAATTCTAGGCTGAAACAGGAGTTGTCCTAGAGGTGTTCAGTAATGTCTAAACCTGTATTAAATCCTAAGAAGGCTTGGTAATACATAAACTACCGTAAGAAGCTAAACTGGGGAAGAGTCTGAAACTCTTAGGGAAGTTTTCAGGTTTACTTTGATGGGGATAATTCAAGTTGCATATTTTAAAATTAGCAATTGAATTAGGACTCTCATGATTAAATGTCATAGCAGTGGTATAAAATTAAGCATAACTACGTATAAAACTTTGGTATGCTTAACAGGAAGGAAACGGTTGATGTTTATAAATTACTGTTATATCAACTTATTGGATGTTGTGAAGTAGTTACAAGTAAGCATGGTAATTCTGATATGGTTATTATTATGCTTATTGTGAGTTATAGGATGATTATATTTACTTCTCCGTGTTTTTAAATTGCTAAAGAATCAAGTACTAGTTGTATTGAATAAGCATACTACCTACACATTCTTGTTATACTTGTATTGGATAGGTTGATATTGATATGTTTACTGTCATTTAATTATCAACACTGGATGGATGGTTTGTATGCACCGGTATGGGACGGTGACATACTAGGGGGATTAGCTCAAAAATGCTAAGTCCTACCTACTCTAGATTAAGAATTGGATTAACCAAAAGTTAAATCCTATTGATTGTAGTGTCATGGCAACGACTAGTTGAGCGGCACTACTAGGATACATGATGGATTTTAAATATAATGTTATGGTACCTCGATATGAGCTTGAGTCTCAGGATCGACGGTTAGGGAACATATATGCAATGGGATGCATAGCTAGCTATGATGGTTAGAGGTGTACCCTGTTTAGGCTTAGGTACACATGCCCACTTCGTGTGCGTTTTAGCATGTTACCTCTATTCAGGTTGAGACCGGCCTGTAGTCTAGTAAGAGTCCTGTAGTATGAATATATATATATATATATATATATATATATATATCTACAGACTATTTAGTTATTGTTCGATTGGTTAGGATGTACATGCGTATCGGGTTTCTGCTTGGATGGTAGTAGTATAGAACTTGTGCGTGGGCCTGACCCACTTCTATTTTTCAGGTACACGACAGTTCTAGACTTAGACGTGTTCGTGCTGAGCAGAGGTTTCTACTCACTTTACCGACGACGTAGGACTTCTCTTCATAGCTTACTTTTGGATGTTCTATCAGTTATTTTTATTACAGTTTGGATTATTATTAAGGGTCCACTAGAGATGGATTCTCGAGTTGTTAAATCTATCGGAGGTTTTGGATTATTGGAATTTAAGTATTTATTTTTAAAGGATTATATTTTAGTCTCTTTCCGCTTTTAATATTTATTCTTATTTCATTTTGTCACCTGTGTTCGTTTTTTTTTAAATATTAATTGTTTGATATTCCTTCGGGTTTGGGCCTGGACCTGATCAACCCGTATCTCGGATCCGAGGGGTATCACAGGTGTTGGTGGCACTACTATGGGGATGCATGGGACTAGCAGTGGTGGTGTTGGGACTAACAATGTTATGGGAAGTAGAGGTGATGTGAGAGGTAGGGGTGGTAGAGGTGCTGTGAGAGGCAGGGGTGGTGGCAGTCATAGGGCTGTAAATGTTTACATTGGTGCAGACAACTTGACTGATGTCCCAGTGATGGCTAGTGGGATCAATAGTGAGGTATATGCATTGATTTATATTAATTTTTTAATTTTTATTTTACAAGTGTTGTCAACTCAACTTTAATTTTAACTTTACCATCTTTATAGGTTATCAATGTTTCTCAGTCTCAGATTGTTGACATGCCACATACACTAGGGAATGGTACCCAAGAAAGCTAAGATTGGTGGTTCTAGGTAAATGAATTTTTAATTATACTTCTTTTCCATTCAAAACACATACTTGCTTAGGGCATTTTTAATTATCTTATACCATTTATTTGTTGTAGATTTCACTGTCTAAAACTGTTGCCTTTGTTTCATCCAAGTTACAATTTACTTCAGTCCAAGGTGTTGCCTTTTGCTAGTGGACAGTTAGTGGACAATATGCGACTTGTATGGTAAATCTGAAGTAATCTTTTGTGTATTTGATTCATAGATTAACAAATGGACAACTATTGTTTTTGTTTTTAATATCTGTTTGACTGGCTGCAATATTTATGTATGTATGGAGCTGCAATATGTATGTATATATGTGTTGTGTTGTTGGGGAACTATGGAGCTGCAATATGTATGTATGTGTTGTGTTGTTGGGGAACTATGGAGCTGCAATATGTATGTATGTTTTTAATATATGTATGTATGTATGTGTCTGTATGTGGAGCAATATCTATGCGTGTTGTTTGGGAACTATGGAGCAAATTGTGTATGCATAAATTATGTATGTCTGTGTTGTTGGTGGTTGTGGTTATTTAACTTATTGAATGTTGTCATTGAATGGGTGGTGCAGGCTATAGTTGGTCATTTATTGAATGGTTGGTCACCATTGAATGGGTGGTGTAGTAGGTCTGTGTATATGAGTGTTGTTGGGTACAATGTTTATGTATGCGAGTAGTGTTGGGTACAATGTGGTGCAGGTTGTAGTTGCATTTAAAAAATAAAAATCAAGCAGGTTGTAATTGCTTTCA